GGGATTTTATGCAACGATATCAGTGTAAAATGATCGTGCGCATTTAAGGTGGACGATCGTGTGCATTACGCGCAAGTAACACATGTAATTTTTGATTTGGATGGTTTGTTGATCGATTCAGAGCCGTTATTTGTGGAAGTCAATAAGCGTGTTATGGCCAAATACGGGAAAGAATATACGATTGAATTGAAAAAACTCACATTGGGTATGAGTCAATTACCTGGAATTGAGCTCGTTCTTGATAAAGTAAGTGTGCATGATGTGATTTTATCAGCATTCAGGGATTGAAAAATTTGTTTTTCAAATGGCCAGTAATATTTTTTGAGTGCATTGCTTGCTTTGATTTACACGAGTTTGATGGTGGTGATTATGTTTGGGAAGTAATTGATTGTGTGGACCATTGCAATGCACTTATCTTTCAGGTTGGGTTGAAAGATAAGGTCAGTGTGCAAGAGTATGCGGCTGAATACGATGCATTGTTGCCTGAATTATTACCGCAATGCTCACTGATGAAAGGTGCGATGCGCTTTGTGCGTCACTTGGCTGAGCACAATATTCCACGAGCAATTTGCACCGGATCACCGGATTTAGAATGCAATATCAAATTAACGAATCATAAAGAACTGCGCGATTTGATTCCGTTTATAGTGCGTTTTTCATTTGATTCATCCTATAATCATCACACATCGTTAAGTATCGCTACCCTTCAGATAGCATGTTGCGCATAATGTTTATTGCTCAATTTCTTCGCTGATGCTTTCTTTAGTGGTGCAATCAGAAGATTTGAGTAAAGTCAAAAAAAAATGAGCGTCATCATCAAATACATTTGCGTTGTTGTTACATTTCATATACAGATCACTTGAAATGATAACTAATTGAATTTTGAGTTNTATCTGAAACGTTGCATTCAGTAAACAATAACTTTTTGTAATATTGAGTCGATTTTTTGAAATATCACGATAACAATTAGAAACTCTCTTTTTCATCTTCAGTCCATTATCATTAGTTATCACTTATCGACAAATATGGTAAACGAGCTGACGTTGTGAAGCAATAATTGTTTTATCGATTCAGGTTCGAGGCAGCGATCCGGAGATTCGTCGTGGGAAACCGGCTCCAGATTGCTTTTTGGTGACGATGAATCGTTTCGAGAAGAAACCCGAAAGTTCGCGTAATGTTTTGGTATTTGAAGATTCGATTAATGGTACTCGCGCTGCGATTTCAGCCAATATGCAAGCCATAATGATTCCCGATGTTCGCTTCACAACACCACCGAAAGAGTTGATCGCTCAAACTCGAATGATTCTGAACAGTTTCGATGATTTCAAGCCTGAATCTGTTGGCTTACCTGCTTATAAATGTTGATTATGAAACTGTCTTGCCGGTAAGGGATATATATGTATGTGCTTATAGCTAGTCGCGATAAGTGTCTTCATATTGTCGTTCTTAGTGATGTGTAAGGCTATGTTGTATTTTGATTATACAAACATTGATTCCAACTACTTTGATTTATGCACTAACTGACAATTTGGGATACTCTTCTGTGATAATGCTTGTAATTGATGAACGATTCATTTTCAGTTGCTTTGAAATGACTAGCAATAAAAGTATTTCATCGAATCCTTTCCTCTACTATCATAAAATTCGCTATGGGGTAAGAATAGCGTAAGCTTATGGTGATTGCAAGATGCCATGAAATAGATCAAATGAAATAGTATGTAAATATATTGGGATTAGCGGAGAACATGGAAGTTGTTCGTATGGATGCTTATGGTCTACANTCAACGCAGGCAGTAGTTCACTTTTGTGGTGAGATTGGAGGATGTGAAAGGTGTTGTTCGGGAATTGTTTCTTTGTAAGTGCACCTATAGTGCATTATTCACTTCATTGTCACTAAACACACTCAAACGCAGGCTGCTATCTACAAACAAAAATAAATGAGTTAGAACTTATCAATCGCATGCCACATTAGTGGAATGGCTTAGAAATCGGTAAGGGATCATAATGTTTACGATTCATCACTCCAGCACCACCTTAACTCTGCCGAACTGCTCTAGCTAATGCCAGCTCCAGAAACACTTCACAACAAGAGATCAGCTCTAATCTCACATCATACGCACTCAACTCACTGGATACTTGTACAGTGATACGTCTGTCCTGCAAGTGACCTTTCGAACTTCATGGCTCATCATGTCGGTCGCTCGCCGACGTTTTCAACCGATGTGACTTAAACCAACACGATGGGTCCCACCAGACTTTCAAGACAACTTCACATCATCTACGCAGTTTTTCTCTTTTGTTGTTGTATAGTCTCTTATGTATAGCGACGGTAACCGAGTGTAGTTTCGTCGGAATTCCGAGATTTGGATTCCGACGGAAGAATTTTGAAATTCGATCGGATTTCAATGGAGGAGTTTTGACGTTCGTTCAGAATGCCGAAATGTCGATTCGGTCGGACTTCGACCGAGCTGAAATCTCATTGGTATGCCATCACTATATATATATGTTAGAAACATATAAATTTACATGACGAACAGATCACATCAAATGGTAACGATATGCTGTATGCATGTGTGCGTAGTTTATCGTTACTGTTTATCGGAACAAGGTCATTTTAGTTTGTTTGTCGATTGTTAAGGTTATGATANAGAGATTTTATTCACCGATTTCATGTTAAGACTCACATCGATATCAATCTTACTGCTGTTCTTATACAGACATTTCGATTTTTATCTCATTTCCTCATAGTTCACGTGTAATTTACTGACAATTTTTTGAGTACTTTGGTTTGCTCAATTTTAGTTGATCACCTTCCATTCTGTTCACAGAGGGCTGTTGTAATTGTGTTCACACTACAATCTTTTCAATCGTTGAAGAACATCCGAGTTCAAAGCGCTGGGGTTATAGCAGAACGTCAGAGGAACCGTGCCTGGATGTTTAACTGCTCAAGGCGTTCGCAACCAAGACAAATGCTTCAGTGGTTGTGACTTCACTTCAGCCTTCTGAAGCACACATCCGACAGTTTTGTCATGAAGTTGTTGATGTTCTTCAAGATTCATTGCTCGTTTTGATGCTTTATTCGCTGTGACCCTCACGTTTATCCATCTTGTCGTCAAAAACACCCGCTCTAATCAATTATTATCGTTGGTCTTTTGATCGTTTTTAGTGATATTCAACTGCGAATGCACTCCTCATCAATAAATTTTATGAACATCCTCCTTTGTCTTCCATCATTATTTTCTGTCTTTTTCAATCAGCCAAAAATTCCCCAATCAAGTGGAAATTTCATTTGCCGTACATGTCTAGCATGGTTCTGATAAAGAATCTGTCGATAGAGATGTTGAACATTGCACAAGTGAGTCATGTTCGTTCGCAATCGTGACCGTGAATCACTCCGTTTGAACGTCCGTCATATTTCCGTTTGTTTGCATTTCATTTCATCTTCATTGACGTGCATTATTCATGTTACCATTGCTTATTCGTGCCTGTCATTCTTCTGTCCTTCCAGTGCTCATATTTCAATTTAAATTCCATGCTTTTACATTGTTACTCTACTACTGCGATCTATTAAGAGACTGTGCAGTTTTGTTCATTAAGCAGTAGTGTTATTATTTCAGGTGGTAGCAACGTGTTTTTACTAATTCCTTTGAAATGGCGTCAAGAAAAACGTTGAACCGTCGACCACGTCCCCAGCGCGCCACTAGCAATGTTTTTGCTATGTTTGATCAAGCACAAATTCAGGTTATATCATTTTACTTCATCAAATAGCAAAACTTATCACAGAAGAAGCAAGTAGAAAGATGGGTCGTGTTCGTAAGCCACAGGGATTTGTATTGAGCTTTCTCCAGAGTTTTCGATAATTGCAGGTAAACTGATCAGCGTTTGCTTGTTTGACGATAGCACATCTAACAAAACTACGGTCGTGAGATGGATTTGCTATAACTATAGGTGCTTGCAGTCAGATAAATGAACAGTGTACATATAGTCAATGAGATGAGAACAGTTTGATGGGTTTCGGAAGCCGTGTTGTTCTGCGTATATTGTTGTGTTTTGCAGGAATTCAAAGAGGCTTTCAATATGATCGACCAAAATCGTGACGGTTTCATCGATGTGCAAGATTTGCAAGATATGTTCGCCTCACTTGGTATGACGAACTTTTGTTCTATTACATTTCACTTCAACGAGTTACTCTGTCAATAGTGGTGATTTGAGTGCTTGTGATTTTCATAAATTTCCTTATCATTAAATTCAGCAAACTTTCAATAATTTCTTCAGCAGTCTTTGGAATATTACGTCTAAAAAATTTCATGTCAATTCTGCGTGAGCTATCCTCCAGTTCATAGGCAAATATGGCATCAATTCGATATCGTTTATAAGTTGTACTACTATCTTTTTGTTCACTGTGGAAGTTATTTTCCCTCTTGTTTAACTATTCGTTCCGTTTAGGTAAGGAAGTGAAAGAAGATTTTCTCGAAAAGATGGTCAGTGAAGCTCCAGGACCAATTAACTTCACGATGTTTCTCAC